TCTCTCTCTCTCTCACACACACACACACACACACACACACACACACACACACACACACACACACACAAATACACAGACAGAGACGGCGGAGATAAAGGAGGCAGAAAGTATCAAACATGGTCTTAAAAGAATGAGAAGGGGAAACAATGCTAAATGGTAAGAATGAGGAGACTTTGTTTGGGCAGACAGAGAGGGTAGTGTGGGTGGGTCAGGTTAATGTGAGAGGGAACTGATTAAACTGTCTCACTAAACTTGTCAAACAGGCTAGACCCGGTCTGCCTCAAATCACATACGCTGACTATCAGAAAATCAGCTACTGATCACAGCACTGAAGAAACAACCCAACAGTTTAGTAGTTCAGTTTTTTAATTAATTCTTGTGAAAAACAGTTTGTCGACAGGGTTATGTACCAGAGCTCAACAGTTTGGATAGCCTGAGGATTCCCTGCTGTGCTGTCATTTTATGTTCGCTGAATATTTGTGTGACATTTTGAATGTTGATTGTTAAATCCTGCTAATATAAATTTTACTATATATCACTGTGTGCGTGCGTGTGTGTGTGTGTCTGGAGAGAGAGAGAGAGAGAGAGAGAGATGCCAAATAGAAGGGAAAAAACATCATAAAATACGGTGTTGTGTTGCCACATGCCACCACATCAGCTTTAATGTGCCTTGATACTGATTCTTCCCTCATGTGCTGTTTTGAGTGCTGTAACATGACAGCTGATCAAATGGGTGTTGAATTATTGACTGTGAAGACCATAGGAGAGGATTCACATCATTTTCAGACTAATCAAACCATTAACCGACCTATCAGGATAGAAATGTTTCATCGCACGATGAAGGTGATCACTCAGAACATGATTTACAGTGGGTCTCACCTTAAACCATGTCAGTACAATGCCCTCCACATCATAATAGACCTGCAGGATTTCCTTTCATTTATCCTCCGTCTGTATGTGAAACGTGTGCTACTACTGTACTACTTGTAATATGAGCCCTATATGCACACCTGATGTGTGATCAGTAGTGCCTTAATATGCATTTCACAACAACAGACTTTGTGATTTACTAATGAGATGTGATTTACTGACTGGGCTGGAGAAAAAGATTAGTGTTCTTAAACATGATCTGTACACCACCTCCTGGCTGCTAACAAAACTACAAGCGTGGGCTGAAGGCAGTGTCAGTGGTGATCACTGCTCAGGGTCCTTGTAAAGAACTCCAAGGCTAGAGAAACGGGCTGACAGTAGCTCAGTGCAAAACTCAGCAGAAGAGCAGAAGTCTTGTTATTTGCTCATTTCTCCACTTTAAGTCTGAAATTTAAGCCTTTTTGTTTGTCGCTCTGAAGTCTAGCAGCAAATATCATTAAGCACGTCCTTTATGCAGGAGTCGCCAAAAATATTATTCCGTAGAAAAAATGTCTTTGTACTTTAATGTAAGAATAATGCGCTGTAAGCTGGTCATTTTTACAAAATAAACCCCACCTCACCAAATAAATTTCATGCAATAAGTTTGCATGAAATACTCAAGTGACTTGAAATTATTTTATAATAATTTACTATATATTCTTTTAAAGCTTCTGTTAAGGAGGAAACCATACAAAACAATCAGTATTGCAACAAAGATAACACTGCACCTTTATTACAGTAACATTAAAGTTCTCAGAGGTCATTTTCAGAGCTTTCTCAGCGGGGTAAAGCTCAGCTATAGGAACTATAGGAATACAGTCAGTATCAGTAACAGGATGGTGTCAGCTGCGATTGTGTGTAATATGAGAGAGCAAATTAGACGTGTGATATGAGACACAAAATTGGTATCATTTTCCTGGATGAGCATTGACATGGACAACAATGTTAGGAAACATCTGAGCGCTTAATGCTGTAACTGAGCAGTCAGAATCCAGACAGATATGTAATAACAAAATGTTATAACTTGCCCTGCTTTAGCTTTCAGGTGATGTCAGGAAAAATTTTAATCAATAGAGAAAACAAGCTGTTAAGCCATTGTTGAAGCCATTGTTATAGGTAAAGTTGCCTTTCTAAAATCTTACAAATAGTTAACCGAAATATAAAAAATGGAATATAAGTAAATAGTAGAATTATACTTGTACTAAAGGTAAAATATCTGAGCAATGGTGGGCAGACTCTGTGAAAATGCAAATGTTGCTTTTTTTCTCATGTAAAGTAAGAGTTGCTGTTAGAATATAAGCCTTTAACTTACAGTAGAAGCCTTTATGATCAAATCAAATCAAATCACTTAATTGTCACATTACCACATAATGATGATCATGAGAAATCATAAGTGCAACTAAAATTCAACTTATTATAAAGAAAAGAATATTCAAATTTTAGACAGCATGAAGAAAAAAGAGAAACACAAAATATGGAGAAACACACTGGTAGGAGTCTCCAAATGGACCATTTGATGGTTTAGGATCAGATGTTGAGTCAGTCAAAAACGATCTGCTTATAATAATCATCCATATTCTATAGGCACTGGCCAGAAGGACATGATGGGCTTAAGATGACAACCTTTAATTACTCTATCAAGATGCTGTAAGGACAAGGATTCAATTTCCTTTTTCTCTTTATATTAAACAATCAATATTATTGAGGACAGCGGCTGAGGAGCATGAGATTATCAGCGAGCGCTGGAGCTCAGGACAGCTGCAGGAGAATAACAATCCCACGCTGGTAATCCAGTCAGCTCGGGAGGAGGACTTACACTCCGGTTCACGGTTTACCAACAACATCACACAGAATTAATGAATCCGCAGCCATGAGCTCACAGACCCACTGTATAACTGCTGTGCTGTTTGAATACAGGTACAACCCGGTTAAAGGCACGCCTAAATGTGCCTTTCACTACTCCTGTGATTGCAGAAAATCAAATTACACCATCAGTGTTCCATCAGAAAAAAATATACATAAAAGTTTTGTTTAGA